CTAATTGTTCCACCTAGGTCTGACATTTCGCCAGCGATCGCTAAGAGAAGAGTTGATTTTCCGCTGCCTACTGGCCCGGTGATAACTGTCAAGGTTCCTGATGCAGCAATGAATTCCACATCTTCAAGGATAAGGTCGTCCTTCCTCTTCATTTCCGTAGACTTTAAACTGGACACGCATAAAGTTCCTGGCTCAGATGGGTTCACCCTCTGATCAGTAACAGGGCTTTCCTGTGATTTCTCCGACTGATCTTTTATCACTCTAAAATCCCTCTGTAACTTAACGGACATTTCCTCTGGCGCTATACCTTTGTCTTCTTTACTCTGATCTCCCGAGATACATAGCAAATCTTCTAAGATGAGAAACTCTTCTATCCTGCCGAGTGATACATATGCTTCATGTGTCTCCACTACACCATATCCAATATCAAGGGAAAAACAAAGTCTTAGCAAGTTCATGTACATTAGAAGCATAAAAGCATTGACAGGAGTAAGATGATGACCAGTCAGTAGCAGAGAAATAACGGACAGCAGGACAGGTATTGAAGTATACTCCAAGGCAGCCAAACCTGAGAGAATAACACTTTTCTTTCGGATGATGCTGATTTCTCGTCTGAAAGAGAAAAGAGATATTTGCCATCATTTACGGACAAATAGAAAGTACTAAAGAACTGCGCGCTCTCTGGTTGGTTAAATACTTATTTAATGACCATATATTTGTATAATTTTAGCACCAAAAGGGTGCGACTGCGCAACGTGCGGTACAAAATGTTCACAAGCAGTTTACCATGAACTGTGTGGGATGTTGACTTTTCGATGATACAATTTAATGAAAAAAAACAAACTTGTCCATTTTTCTGAAATAACAGCGAAATGCTCCCTCATCTTGAAGTAAATTTTAAACAAAGAAATCTACTGTATTGGAAGTAAGGTTTGGAAATTGGGGAATATCAATTGGTGAATATTCGGTCGCGTGACGCGTTCAGACCAATGACACGCGAGCTAAAGCATCTGACCGATTCTAGCGTGCCATAGAACTCATTAGCTTGTACGTTTTGTCTACCCATTTTAGGTCATGAGATAATACTCTGGTTAACTGGTCGCTTGAAATGTCTCCTTTTCCACGTGCATATGTACTGGAGTGCGCATAATTTGCGAACGTTAAAAGAAAAAGTTCTCTGTAGTGTCATCACATGACCAGAAATGGCTAAACAAATCATTCAAACTAAAAAGGACAATTAACCATGCATTGCATTTTGTTAGTTCACCAGCGTTATAGCCTGCGCACGATATCGGTGAACAACCAAAAATTGGCTCAAGAACTCGTCGTCATAGTTCATGATTGCAACGACAAACTGTCTTTTGCAATAACGATCTTGGATTATTACGCCAGCAAACAGATAGTTACGATGCATAGCTATTGCGGTAACTAAAAAGAAATTCCCCCTACTTTCGCGTATGTTTTATCTTTCCTCCGAAATAATCCTCCCAGGCACGCGCCTTGATAGCGCGTATCCCAGAAACCACTTGGTTCGTCAAGGAAATTCGACGATCACCTTCTGCTGCTGAGCGCAGACGCAGCGCAGCGTAGACAGAGGACATCTCGACGTAATAGGGTACAAGAAGACAGAGAAATAACTCTCCAGTTAGAGCCTGCCAGCCAATCAGATACGCGAGCAGAAACGTTGCAGCCACGATTTGGTGTGCGTCTGACATCATTACAAAAAATTTAAGAGCTACTGTTTCCATCCGCTGGATATCATTTGATATAAGATCAACCACTCGTCCTGCTGAAAACTTTAACAGTGTACTCTTGCTGAGCAGGAAGATCTGAGAATAAAACAAAACAAATAAATTCAAAGAGGCTTCCATCTTTAAAATGTTTAGAGAACAGGTAGCAATTATCACTTGTGAGGCTGGGGGTAGGGGAGGATTTGGAAGAATTTGCGAGTATCATGTGGTTGTCAGTTGGAAGAAAAGGGAATCACCTGTCACCAACATTGTATAAAGAGGGAAACCATTGTAGATTGACGGCTATTGAAGGGGAATAGGAGCATTTGAATATCACAGAGCTCTCATTGTGACGACAAAGCCAAACCGCACCCCCTCCTCCCTCTTCCGTCATAGGGAACAAATAATGACTGGTCCTTCAATTTAGAACTTGACTGCTTAAAAAGGAAAACCAAAGAGTAATGTTGAATAAAGGCTGATAGTTTGTAAAGAAACTGTTTGGGGCTGCTTCGGTGGGGGTAACGAAATAGTTTGGATATATCAACAAAGTTGAAATGGTAAATTGGCCACCGTAATGATTACAAAAGCTGACGTTTCGAGCGTTAGCCCTTCGTCGGAGCGAATGACGAAGGGCTAACTCTCGAGACGTCAGCTTTTGTAATCGTTACGGTGGCCAATTTACCATTTCAACTTTGTTGATATATCCAAAGAGTACTGTGAAAACCAATTATGATGAAGATGGTACGTGTATACCACGCAGGTAAATGATGCTTTTTAAACGTGCTGATTAGCTAGTACAGAAGATATTAGCAAGTACTCCTAACCTTCCCTAGACGCAGAGACAAAATCCAACGTCAAAAGTTTGACGAGACTGAAAATGGACTGGCGCACTAAGGTAGTCTTATATTTGATTGGTTGGAAAGGTTGCGCAAATCTTTTTGAGCAAGCACTTAGTATTGTCAGACAAAAAAGTAGAAAAATGGACTCCTGAATACCCTATTTAGACACTATTTGAAAATTTCTTTCACTAGTAACAAATGTTAGGGTTAGAAAAAATACTGGGTCGTTAGGCGAAGAAATAAAGAAGAGAAAATACACTAGTATTTTCTGTATCCCCTCTGGGGATACCTAGAATGCAAAGGTGAGTTCAACCGACTAGGGTAAGTAGCATGGGATATTGTTTTGATTGGTTACAAACGAAAAATATTGGCTCGTTGTGTTACATCATGGAAAGAGCGACCAGTAAGCATTAGCAAGTGAGTTTCTTCGTGTGTTAAAACATGTTTTTAACAACCAAAGTCGGTTATCTAGTCAAAGAGCTATCCATATCTCATCGATCAGAGAACTTACTGCTGCCACGATACCTGCCGTAACTCGTAGTAAATTTCTGATTACTTCGCTTAAGTCACTGAGAGAAAAGGGAAACTGATTTCCCACACGAACACACACGCACACATGGTGAACAAGTGAAACAGTTATGACTACTCATAGACTCAGAATTAATCGAGAAGTACAAGGGTTCGGTAATTTTTTTAAACGCAAAATCGGAACAAGTGGAAAAATGCCCCTTGCGTGAGTGTCTCATATCGATCGGCTGAGCTATTTACATGCGAAGAATTTCACTTGAAACTGCTTCCTAATCGCTTTTTTTGAGATGCTTCATAACAAATGGAAACTTCTCTTCACCGACCACAGTCTCAAGTGCATGAATTAACTCTGATGACGATTTTCTGACGTCTGCAAGCAACTATTCTCTGCCAACGACAAGGCTAAAGAGGATTAATTCACTTTTAGCGTTCTGAGTATTTTCATAGGGGATGCCAACAACACTAGTGTTTTCCATTGGGGAAAAATCAGCCACCAGTCCTGTGCTCACCTTTTTGTAGACGAGACCTTTTATTGCGTTACTCAATCTGATGCCCAATATTTCACACGCGTAAGCGTGGTGCTGCATGGCAAGGCTGCCGATCAATGTGTTCAGAGTCATGGCTGCCGCAAGCAAACAACCGTGAAGTATGGGGTTCGTATACGTTCCAGGTGACATTAACATGAAAATCAGATATCCAATAAGCAGTGGTGTGACGAGGGAACCAATTCCATAGAGGACGCCAGGGAGATAAACATAGGCAACCTCCTTTGGGGAAAGCATCTTCAAAACACTTTTCCAGAGCTTTGGCCTTTTCTCCTTTCTCGTGGAATTAGCTTTTTCTTCTTTCCATTTCTTCTCGAGACGATCTGTGACCGACTGTGAGGTGTCCTCATTGGAGAGTGGCACAAAATCGCTTTCCTCCAAGGGTTGTTGACTACCTGTCTTCATGACATCGTTCATCCATTGAAACAAAAGGACAGAGACAAAACCAACTTTCTCAGCAGAGTCATTGGTCGAGGTGATCTTCCTGTAGCCATTCGGTGCCATGATTCTAAACCTCTATTGGTATCATAATAAAATACGATCAATATAAGGGACCCATTCGTTATCTTGTAGGGGGCTAAAGGGAGGAGGGGGGGGGGGTTGAAAAGTTTGGATTTTGATCCTCCTCCACCAAAAAAGCTCTAGAAAATTTTTATCAACCCCTCCCTCATCCCCCACCCCCTTCGTCGGCGGTTAACTAACATTCGATTTTCTATGTTTTCCCTTTCTACTCTGTTAACGAAGATCGATCTCCTCTGCTTTTCATTTACCCCATGAAAATATGTAGTCCCCCTAAAATCTACCGGCCCCTCCTCTCCCAGGTGATAAATAATGTTCCCTAATTGTCCCATAGTTTAATTACAAATTCAAAATAGGAGCAAATAGAATGCGAGGGATGATGTACCTCGTAGAGTGCGCAGATTTATTTTTGAAAATCTTAACTCGGTGAACGCGCAGTCTTATGGGTCTCCTCCGCGACCATTGTCTGGTCGTGTCACGGAACGAGCTCCTCCCGCGAGATCTGCCATTACTTGCTTATAAATTTTTCAGTCCGGGCGGACGGGATATTTTCTACTGAAAATTCTGTCAGTAAAAAGTTTGGGCTTCTTTGTGTAGCGAGAAACATTGGCAATCCCATCTTAACTCTCAGTCCGACTTGAAACGCAAAGTCCCTAAGGCCCGCCAAAAGTATAGATCACTCGCAAAAGTATTCAATTGAATTCTAATTTTCTTTTATTCTAACTAATTCAGAAGGGCCAAACAACTCCTTCGGCAGAACTGGTATTACACCAAAACGGACTCTAACATTAAACAGGTGTAAGCTGCTGGGTCATTTATTGAATTTTCCTGGTTATAGTTGCGAACCAGTGATTTGAACCATTACGTCTTTAACTAAGCTTATTTTGGCTCAAAAGAAGTAATTGAAAAAAGGTTTTTTAAAAATATTTCACTAAGATAATCTCACTTACCGGCTTACTTTGTTGTATTGCCCTGGAAAGAACTTGTAAGGCCGCGGGGGACGAAAATGTGAAACGACAAGTGAAAGGTCAGTACCGTTCTTTAAACTCTGTTTGCAAACGCTGCTATAATGCTACTAATATAATGAATAATTTAATTTTGCGCGCAGTGGATAAATTCCTATATGATGCGCGTTTTGATTGGCTAAAACAGCGTCCGTTAGGGTTAAAATGCACGGAGTAACGGTGTCACACCATCGACTAATTTGTACAATGACCAGCCTTTTCCCGGTCCCTTCGCATGGTTTCCTTACTTTTTTACCAACAACTCTTGCATGATCTGTAAAACGTATATAAATCGAGCACTTCGACTATGTCTCGCGTTTCCCTTACATCTTCAGTGCTCTGGCTGCCTTATGCGTGGTTTACAGTAGAATTAGGCCTCTTTATCTGTTAAGTAAAGCTTGATCTGCATAACAACTATTTACAGACGACTGCACTAACTAAAAACATAACAACTGAATTGAATTTGTTTAATTGAACTACTAAGATTATTTCGAGTGCAGTTTGGAAAGATCAAGATAGAGTACTTTTTTCTTTTTCAAGGGTGCTTTTTTAATCTGTTCCACGAGAAAAATCATGTGATGAGTTAATTAAAAAATGCATATGTATAAATTAGATACGCGGGTTCTTAATTATGCGAAAGCAAAGCGTGGGAATCACCCACCATAGATAATTCATTGAAATTATGTTATTGAATTGAGGTATTGTAAGAGAACGATAAAAAGCGCCATTTTATGTCATAACTAACAGTAATTAGCTAACTGACAGTAAATAGGTAACTGCGCGTTTCACGCACTAAGCGAATGCGCATGTAACTTGTTTGCCAGACTTGTATTTTGATGTAAAGGTTTTTAGAAGTGTGTGACTCGAAATTTGTCGTTCAACTCAACTAGCGATGGGAATTATCTAATAAAAGGAAAATGCATCATCTACAGGCGAAAGTAAATTGCTACCGGTATTGCGTCATTTTTACATAACCTCACCCAAACACGCAAACTAAAAGTAGTACAGTATAAAGAATGAATACAGTTGAGTGAAAATAATAAGAACCCAAAATTCTAGTTGCTACAATGACCACCAAGAGAATATCTTTATATTCTCCTACTGACAACTTAATGTACAAAAGCTGGCTCGAAAATACTACTACAATTGATTTTGGGAGAAAAACGTGGATTATATTTTGCTTGAAAGATAATTCTTAGTTTGTTTGAGAGATTCCGCTCAAAGTGACAGTTCGGTACAGGTGGAGGACTATACATAAACAAACACAATTTTAGGACTCATGGTAAAAGTAGCACTGCCAGCGTAAGAGTACATAAACCATGGCAAGAGAATATAAACTGAGAGAACTTATCCCACATGCATGCCCCTCTTCCAATTATATAAATGGAATGCGGAGCTAGGGAGAACTAACGGAGAGAGAGATGGGTTTATTCCAGCCGTGAACCACGCACTAAGTTCGAATTAAATGTCGGACAAGATGAGAGCTGCGAGGCTACTCTTCCTGTTTCAATTTGGTTTGTTCAGTCAGCGGAGAATACTCAGCGTTGCGCGAACAGAAAAGTCGACAAAGTATGCCTCCTCATTTCGTGTTAGCGAAGTTTTAGCTCTTCTTTCATGTTGAGGAAAAAACAGAACAACTAATTTTTTACCCTCGCTCATCGTTTTTGCACAGATCCGCTGCGTTCACATTGACGCAATCATGAACATTAAATGAGGATCTGTAGCAATTAGGATGGCAACGCCAAGGAAGATGTCGATGAAAAAAATGAATTTCTACTTTTAATTAGAGTTTTGGAAATGGCTGCATGTGTTTACCGTTTCTAACGGCACCACACCTGACGTATATTAGCATGACGTATATTAGCAGCGTTGAATTCCAAATGGAAATTACAATAATTTGTCGTCGCGGTTTCCGTTTGCAGACGACGCAAATTTTACTGATTTCACGCTGCTGTTTTGCAAAGAACGGCTAAGAAATGTACAAAGTTTTAAAACGCATGTGCTGGCTATTGCTCTACTTCTTAGATATTTTGTTTTTCCACGTCCTCGTTGCCGTCGCCGTTGTGGTTTGCTTTAAAGGGTCCCCCATAACTTGGGCGACACGGTTAGATTTCACAACTAGAACATTTTAACTTTTCTCTTTATTTATCTTTTTTTTTTCTTTTTACGTGGTTTACCATTACAGTAGTTTCCCTTAAGGTAAATGGCTAGATTCCAACAACGCTTTGACGTATTCTGAGAGAAAGGGTAACATAAAGAACCAAAATGGTTAAAGATTACATTATTCTGCGATCAGGAATCTTTTTCAAAGTACTAATTGTCTTCAACAGTTGCAAAAATATAGGATGCAGTCTCCGAAGTGAGTAAACGGTCTCAGTCACTCTGATTTCAGATGTTGAAATACCCTTGTTGTTTAAGTAGTGCATGACCACTTGCGCAAACGTTAGTTAGGAAACACTTATTTGGAAAAAAAATGTAGCGGCTCTTTCCAGTTCTGAGAGAAAAGAAATAAACTGACCGTGTGAGACGTCTGTAATGATGGACATTCAGTTGAAAATAAGAGTTGAGTTTTAAGGCGAATAGTCGGCGTCTAAACTTGAACATAAACAAAAGTTCATTTCATTTTATCTCGACATTCATTTGAACAAAAATTTGTGGTTTGTTTAAACTGTTTCAAAATTGTTAGGTTAATATTCTGACTTACCAACTGTACGACTGTCCAACTTAACCGACGAAAGTTCCTGAACTGTTCATTCAAAGTGTAGTGAGGTTAGCAACTCGCTTGATCGTTTAACGAGAGGCACCAGGACTCTGGACTCTTCTCTTTTTATTTTTTCCTCGAGAGCTACTACAGCTTCGACTACCTTGCTTCAGATCTTTTCTTCTCTCTGTTTAGCGAGGGGTGTTAAACACGTATTAAATAAAAAAATCACAAACATGTTTGGGTTGCCTGACCGTGGGAGTTTCCATGGTGTGTCCGTTTATTTTGCAGAAAGGGGGAAACTGTGTGGCCCTCACCGAAGTACTCGAAGAGCGCCAATGAACCAATTGAACGCAAACAGCTGCACACAGGAATCGCGCACGCAAACAGGAACTTCAGTGTGTGTAGAACTCAAGGTCAGCTTTACCAACGCAAACACGATCACCTATGAAACTAATTATTTTCAACCATAATAAGCGATTAAAATGTCCCGCACGGTAATAAGGAAATCCGCGAGCTGAGCCAAAAAAATATAAATCCACCAAAACAACACGTAGGAGCAAAAGGCAAGGCTTAACAAAACAAAAGGCTTAACTAGAGAAGTCTCAAAATAACAGCTTTCAATTCACACCTCACGACAAAAGGAAACTGTTTTCGATAACTTAATGATCTCTATGACTTTAACATGAAAAAGTTTATCATTTTAATGCAACTTGTATGATAAGATAGAGAAGAAATGTGTGGCCGTGGTTTGTACAGCAAGGGATTAGAATATTTTAATGTAAATACCATTTTTGATTTGTGCTCCACTTGAGCCGAGAAACTTAAGTTCCTTTTTTAACCAAAAATTATCTTTTAAAATGAAACTCATCTCACTCAGTTAAGGATGAAAGTTTGTTTCTGAGAGTATTTTTACAACCGAATGTTCAAAAAAGTTTAAGTATCCTAGTTTGTCTAACTTTGTAAACAATTTGCAGTATTTGATAGTTGATTGTCTTAGCCTTTTGTTTGCGTCAGTGATTACGCGAGCCTCTAATTGTGTCCGATGACTGAAAAAAAAATGGTCGCTCGACCACATGTCAATCAAAAGGTAAGAACTGGAACAACATCCAGCTTTGACGAATAAACGAATTGACTTTCATTTCAATTTTGAATCAACTTGTTCAATAACCAATGAAAAGATATTGTAGGGAAATAATTTTAGCTGAGTTTATTTGTTTTTTGATCGCAAATAGGGCATGACAGATTATATAGTCGACACAATAGAATATATGCACTTA